TGAATCTACGATCTGTTTCGTTTAATTGCATCTGTACATTTACGGGATTGCCTTTCGTCGAAACAATTTAAAGAAAAATCTTGAATGACTAACGAGATTAGCATTTGTGGAATTGATTTGCCTCTATCAATTCGTAAGACATTGATATATGTATTGCATGAAAATCTATAGCTTCATTCTATTTCTCTCTATCAAGATTCATAACGAATCTCGTTCACGATTCTAATTGAAGATGAAATTTGATCGTTTGAGGAAATGGTCCGCTCGAGGGTCGAAACTGATTACCAGCTGTTGAAATCGGCGACACGGTTGAAACGGTTCGGACAAGCGAGAGAAAATCGACAGAATAAGTGGGATTCGAGATACTGAGTCGAAATGACAGTCGACACGCAAGAAACCGATTAAGAAAAAAAAGAAAGAGAAAGAAGAAATAGTCGCCACACTGTAAAATCTGCGTGCAAAGTGCAAGCTCTGCGAATGTTCTGGGAAACGACAAAGGGCAATGTCGGTTCGGTTCGTTTGGCAGTTCTCGTTCGTTTTTATTGCCCTTTTTCGCTCGTTAGATAGCACTCTTTTTCCCTTGTGGTCTTTCTTTTCCTTTGCCTTTTCTATCTTATTATTTCACGTCGTTGCGCTATCGTGCCGCAGTTTGTCTATTTAGTGGCTTATTTAGCCGCTTGTTTATTTGCGTTTCCGCGGCCTGTGGAACCAATTTATACGAATGCAAGAGAAGGGAATCTTTCTACGGAAAATTAAACGCTCTACAAAACTACAATTACGTTGTACAATTGCGGAGAGCATAGTGTAAAACTACACAATGGGACTAATTTGAGAAATATAACTAAAGGAAATGCGAAAATGCCGTGTACACGCGAGAGAGTGGTTGGCAATAGATAGTGTTACATTTATTGACAATGAGTGTAGAAATGTTCCTTGAAAATTCATAAAGTCGAAAAAATAATTATTTTTTTATGTTAATATTAAGATAATAATTATAACATATATTAAATATTAAATTTTAATGTACACACACACACACACACACACACAATATATTAAAATGTTAATTAAATTTTATATACATAAAAATATATTAACATATATTAAAAATTAAATATTAAATCATATTAAATAATAAAAATATTAAATATTAAAAAAATAATATTAAATCAATATTATATGAATATATTATTTTTGAAAATATCTCTCAAAAATTGTCAGATATTACTTTCGATATTTCTCTTACCATTCAAGATTTTCTGAGCTAAATTTTAAGTAGCTCAATGATTTAATGGACAAATGAAATAAACACACGAGCATACGCCGCAATTTTGTTTTCTCTAATAGGGCAGAGCAGATTAGATCACTCTGTCTGATGCAAGATTAACAAGAAGCTGCATCTTGCCCGCACTAATTCTCGATCGAAAAAACCGACAAGGACGACGAGTTTTTATTATAGTATTTTTGTGGAATTGCACGTGTCGGGTCTATAATCACATATTCATAAAATTATGGCGATTACTGTTCTTTGCCCTTGTCTGCTTTTCTTTTTATCATGAGGCGCCAGACTAGCTAGTACAAGGAAAGGCAAGAAATTGCTGCATTGTAAGCTTCAGATTTTCTTGTTATATGCACGTACCATGTATGTTATCAAGCAAATATTCATGTTCCGCTGTATACATATACTATCGAGCAAATATTCATGATGCAAACTCAAAGTCGAGTTATAATTATATCGCGGTGAAACGCATTCCTCAATCACTCCTATTAGTATAGACAGAGATAAACTATGTAGGAAATGTTTGAAAATAATTACATATATTGCACACAGCGATATTACTCATTTTAATATTTGTCTCACAAAAACAGTCACTCAAATGATTGGGAAAGCGCCAAAGCACGAAGAGATCACCATTATTAATCGAGAAATAAATATACTGCACTTATGAAATTCCATACAATTTCTGAAAATTAAAGGCTATTCGTAACGCTATTCGTAAATTTTGCTCAGCGAATCAATGAGTATTTGAATATATCGTATCTAGAAATAATAGGTCAACGAAGATACTAGTCTCTTTTAACGATATGCAAATCGCAAAGAAACAATTACATGAAAATGACACGCAATTATTCATGATTACGCCTATCCACGAAAAAAGACCATCAGAGTAAGGCTAATATTTCATTTGTCGTAGGACAAATTTTTCAAGTGTGTTAATTAACTGTAAGATAGAAAATTTCTGGAAACTTAAGAACTTCTCTATTCTGTAGCCAATTAATATATTTGAAAATTTTATCATACTACAAATGAAATATTAGTCTAAAGGTGGCTTCAGTGGCCAATGTGAGTCAACTGTATACACATTTGCTAAATATTGGCCCATATTCATATGTATAATTATACTTGTGACTATACGTCTTTTATTGTAAAAGACTATCTGTCTATCAAGTAATTGCTTTTTAAACGTATTAATTTTTAAAACTTAATTTTGTTTTTTATTTCAATAATAATGTTATGAAAAATTTCTTTCTAATTAGTCTTTTAATGTTTAATATATTAATAAGCGAGTTTTTATTAAAATTTAGTTTTAATCAAAGATAATATTGGTAAAAACAGCAAAATCATAATAACATTGAAATGATGTTGAAATGAGTTGGGATTGATTGAAAAGTGACTTTAGTAATGAAATTTGCAGCTATTTTGATGTCATTTATTTAATAAAGTACTTTACTTAGGAGTTATCTCAGGCGTACCGCGCAAGAAAATTTCAGAAACTTAATACGCAGATTTCTGACAGTCACAAATTAGTTTAGACATATTTAAGAATAAAGTCCTAAAATTTTTAGGTTCATTTTCTCTAAGAAAATATCACCGTAATAATTTACATGTTATATGTATGCGTGTACAATATTTGTTAATGACTGCGTTCAACAGAAAAAGCAGCTTTGTACTATTGTAAGATTCTTTAATATAATTGGTTCTTGCCTTTATTTCTTCACAGAGTACAAATCAATCCTATTAAAGAATCTTGTAACTATTGCAAAACTGTTTTTGCTACTAAACGCAGCCAATGTTGGCGTACATTGGTCATGTCATCTGGAATCGCCTTAAAATCGCAAGAATACAGTATCATATAGATCAATACAAGGCGTCTATAGTAAGATAAATCAGGCGCAATAAATGCGTCAATGAGACTATTTCCTCGTATAATTTTGAATGAATCTTTGGACGACGTTTGCGCAACTTCCTCCTTGTGGTAGATAAACAATCGATATAGCATCAAGCGAAAAGAAATGTAAAAACAAAAATATAAATCAATACAGAAAGACATAATTCAAATTTTGATTAAAATTTCATAAATTCAACATTAATCACGCAAGACGTTTTGCGAAATTATTTTAGATACACTGAAAAGAAAATACTAAATTTTAATAAATATTTGTTTAAATAGTTCTAAAAATATAAATATTTACTAAATATAAACCTATATTTATTTGATGTAAAAACTATTCATTTCATTTAATTATCATTTTATTGAATAAATATTTATTTATTGTAAGTAAATGTTTACTTAATATTATTCAAAGAAATATGCATTAAGATTCAGTAAATTATTTGCAGTGTACCAAAATCGCATAAATAACGTAGTGTCACCACGTCGTATTATTATAGTTATTAAGCGTTATTATGTAAGTCGATTGGGATGCGATCTGTTTGGTGTACAGTGTCTCGTAAACAAATCCCCCAAGTACGATCGATCGAATGCTGCAGAGCCAAAGTTCGCTATGGCTTTAAATCGCAATCGTGAAAATTAGATCGACATTTCATTGAGACATCCATTCGAGATCAATAAAACAGAACAAGAACGCAAATACGCGGACGGCTTATTTGTCAGCAGATCTTCATTTAATTAACGAATACATTTGCACGCGTATATAGTCGTATGCGTTGCGTATACGCACACTTTCACAGTAGTACAGCGCGAAACTTCCGAAACATCTTATCATATTTCTTCTTTGCGTCACTCTTACGCACGCAATTACGCTTGGGATGTTACTTCTATACTGACGTCATAAAATTAAGTTATAAATAACGCGAGGTGAATTATGGAAATCATAAATATTTAAGTACTCGTGAAAATTACATATATATTAAAAAATGTATATAAAAAACTTCTCGGATAAAAAAAATTATTTATTATTTAATTCCATTCTTCAATCTCAAAATAAAATTATTAAAAAGTTCTCTCTCTCTCTCTCTCTCTCTCTCTCTCTCTCTCTCTCTCTCTCTACAGTTTCTACAATTTTATACATAAATAATTTCGCGTAAAACTTCGACATTCACTTAAGGATAAATGTGAAATAAAAAAAATAATTTTGAAACGTGCATAATTATGAGAATTAAAAATGAAACATGAAATTCTACGCATAAACTGTTAATATATTAATAATATAATCATAAATATTTAAATATTCGACACATAAGTCTGTGGTTGCATTTTGTCGCAAAAAATTTCTCCAACAAAAATAAAATGAATTATTTATTAAGACCGTATATGTAACTACACACAAGTAAAAAGTTTAAAGTCTATAACGGCTATAAAAATAAAATGATTATTTTATTCCACTCTCCGATTTCAAAGTAATTATTAAAAATTCTCTCTACAACTTCATAAAAATAATTCCGTAAAACTCCGATTTGGCGTTCGTTCAAGAGCGAACGTAGAGTTGAAAAAGTAATTTTGAAATATGTACAATTATAAGAATTGAAAAATTTTTTAAATTTCACGCATAAATGACTAATGGTTCAATCACGCAACACTAATACCTATTTATTATGTAAAATGATGTGTCCGTTTTGGACACAGAAGTTACATATGCGAATTTGACGCGTCAAAGAGTTGCGCAAATTTACGCTCGACGGTACAGATCGCGCGTGATGTCATCGCTGTTATGTATATTAATTTGACGTATTTCGTATAATTCTGCGCGTGACTTACTTTTGCATTCCTCTGGGCTTTCGTCGGAATTGTCAGTACAATCGTCCGATTTGTCACAGACCCACGAGATTGGTATGCATCTGCCATTGGCACATCGGAACTGCCTCAAAGGACAAGCTACCTTACCTGAGAAACAAAAGGAAAAAAATTCACTGAGAAAAACTCAACGGCTTAAAACAACTTAACAAGCAGTATAAAGAAACGTAAGGAACTTAAGCATTCATGAAATCGATCAATCGTTATTTTTAATTAAAAAATTAACTTAATTCACTTAATTTTATTCAAAAATTAATATTTCATTGTAATTAATATTTCATATTCGATCGCTCGATTCATTTGCTTAAATCGCTTGTCGCTTACATTTTTTTTGCCTTGCGAAGCTTTATAATCTCATAAATAAATGAATTGAGATAACGCCAAGATTTGTAGCGGGTTATAATTAGAGTGACTCGCCATTAGAAGACTACTCTCTACGGATGCAAGCGTGACACGTGCCTCGTTCTAACATAAACGCAGCAGTAATAAAATCAAACGTAATCTGTCGTAGCTCATTTGCGTATCAACTGTCGTCACTGTCGACAAGGTTACTTCACAATTCTCACTGACAGTAGATAGATACTTATTTCTATCTAATATGCTCATTAAGCAAACGAGTGGAGAAACTGTGCAATTTTATTCTTACATATCACTTATTTGTTACAACAACAATTACGCAACTAAAAAACCAAAGTTTTTAGAAAATAGAATTTAAATATTTTAAATCGTTAAAATTTTATAACACTATCAATTTTTACTATTTATACTACTCATAATTAGACCGTATTTCTTTGTATTTCTTTTCTTTAAAATACTTGGTTAAATAATGATGACTATTCTTTTTCATTTTTTTTTTTTAAATAAACAACTTTATAAATACTTTGTGAGAATGTTTGCATATATATGTAAGAATTACTTAATAATATCTTTATTATAAAATTAATGAAAATTAATTCATGAATGACCCATCGAGTGTGATAGATAAGGAAAATCAAAAAATCATCGTATGTATTAAGGATTAAAATACAATTTTAATGTAATAACTGATTGTAGAAGAATATAATGTTTTTCTAGTATTTTTTCTTATTTCCGCTCTTTCTTTACAAACAACTAAAAAACATTGAAAATTTTAAATTATTGACTGCATCCAATATTTCAATTCAGCAGACAAAGCAGCTTTGCAATTGTCGTAATATTCTTTAATACAATTGGTTTTGCCCTTAGTTCCTTATTAGCTCTAAATGTATAAACCAATCATATTAAAGAATCTACAACAGTTGCAAAGCTGCTTTTGATGGTAAACGCTACCATTGCAGCAAATGAGCAAAAAGTGCAGTATCATTATTCAATTATTCATATGAACCTATTATTATATTTTTTTATACTAACGTTTTAATGTTATTTAATAGTTTTACTTTCGTTCTATTAACATGTGATTTGTCTTTACAACAGACGCACTGGAAAATATTTATTGAACGATCATAGAATGCGAGTTTCCTATAAAAGGTATCAGGTATCTTGCGGTGATACCGACCAACGGATCTGAAATAGCATGAACGGTATACGGCAGTAATCCAAGCCGAGTCCAGACAATCTGAGATCAAAGTTTTTGCGAATTCACATACGATCTGCGCATTGATCCGCAGAACACCTTAACAACTCCCGGTGGGAATCGCCGACACAGATTTATCACGTGGAACGTGCGCTCCGGCTATTTCCACTACGTTTTGTGCTGCCTCAAGAATTCCTCAGTGAAATTATTGGACGATGCTTAATAGGCCGCTAGAAATCAGGACGTACATTATAGGATCGCTAGCAGTTACAATGAAACTAATGCTACGGTTGTTAACTGACGGCCAAGATTCTGTCAACTTATAGTACTGGGCCATCACTGGCAAATAATTGGCTGTTAAATGGCCAAAGTTCTGTTAGCCAATACTGGACCATCACTGACAAATGACTGGATAAAATGACTAGGTCAGTACCGAGTTCAAGTTATCATCCAGTACTTGGTCAGTACTGCGCCAGTAATTGAACTTGTGGCAACCAATAATAGCCCAGCATTAAACCGATTGTAAAATCCTACATAGAATGCGAATATCAGAGCGAATGTGTAAGGGCGGTCAAAATCGATCAAATAAACGTTCACGATCAACGGAGTTCTATCTTGCTGACTTGTGTGGCACTTAGATTTGCTGGAAGAATCATTACGCTAATTACGTCCGCATATCTGTAATTATATAGTATGTGCGTACCTTAATTTTCTCGGCTGTACATTATACTCAAACATATTTCGCGAACATGCTGGATTCAGTATACCTTGTATTCGTGGAATAATTCTATGAGTTCTAGCGAAACGCAGGCAGGAAAGTAGTGCAATTTTGTCGATAAATTTTCTTGTTCGAAACAGTTTTCTTTCGAAACTCCAACGACTTCGGAGAATTAAACGGCGAATTGAAAGCCTTAATCAGGAAAAATTGAGAGAAAATTTTACTTCGTTAGATTCAGCAGCAATTTTTGCTTTTTGCGAAATACGCAATTTAATTTTTATTTCTATTCATGTGCGGTTTATGTGAATGAAAGATTGGCTTGTAAACTCACTTCAACATCCAAAAATATTACTCATAAATCATGACTTAATCAGACAAATTTAAATTCATTAAAAGACGGGATAGATTAATCTCTTTGAATTATCAGAATAATCGTAAATGTATGAGATAGAAAAGCATGTGTGCACGGAGTCTTTTTCTTTGCTTTACTTTTCTTTTTTTTTTTTAAAGTTTACGATATTTTAAATCTTAATCTTTAATCTACATTTACATAAACACGTATTTAATAAGCAAGAATATAAATGCTCAAATATAAATAAATTAAATATTATTACGTTAAAAAAAAGTTTCAAAAAATCTACGAGTCTAATAATAAATGCCATCAATATACAATATATTAACTTTAATTTCGATTCGAATTTACTTTTCATTTATTTCTAATTTTTGGAATTAGATAAATATAAAGAGTATGTTGAAAAGATTAAATTAAGTTAATCCATATTGTTAAAAACAGATAAGATAGACAATTTTGAAAAGAGACCGGTTTTGCTGAAATATCTAAAATTTTAGCCAATTACAAATAATGATAATAATTTTATTGAATCATAAAAATAATTATGTAGCACAAACTGGTTGCTACAATGTCAACATTTTTTACAGTATTGTTTATCATGCTTGAAATAATTTCTACAAAATTATTTTAATAATTTAACAAAATTATTTTCAAATCTATTTTATGTTAAATTTTTAGACACTTTAGCAAAACCGTTCTTTTCGTGCTTATATCAAACTAATAAGATAGTAAGATCTTTTAATTATACATGTCGCGTATAAGGAGTGTTACAAATTGAAACTAGTTTTTATCTCTGACAAGTCAACTTCAGGGAACACAGATTTTTTTCAATTTTTTTATAGTTACATCTTAATATTAAAATATGGACAAATCTAATTTTAGTTAAAATTAAGTCTTTCAAGTAAACATTTATTTTTGTACAAATACTGGATTTACAAATGTTTAAAGTAATATTTCTTAAAAATTAATCTACATCTGATTTTCTGAAACTCGACATACATAGAATAAAATAATATAAGAAACGGTTTATAATTTAAGAAACGGTTCCACATGCAAAAAAACTTTATACTTATTATTTTAAACATATGTAAAATCGAATATTTGTGTAAAATAATTTTTTTTTAATTGAAAGGCTTAAAAATTAAAATTAATGACAGATTTCTTCATACTTTGTAAGAAACTAAAAAAAATTTAAGAAAAATCGACGTTTGATGTCCCTGAGGTTTATCTTAAGGAAATTAATTTTTTAACACGTGTCCAAACTAAAAATTGTTTACTCGTTATTTTGGATAATTCTGCATCGTGTGCCATGCAAAAATCATTATTAAAGAAATCAAAACAAATCAACGTTAAGTGAGTATCACTTTATTCCATTTTCTCTCTCAATGATGTTAATATTCTATTTGTGTGTGTGTGTGTGTGTGTGTGTGTGTGTGTGTGTGTGTGTGTGTGTGTGTGTGTGTGTGTGTCAGAAACGAAAACACACACACACAGTCGCTCAATGAAAAACAACAAATATACGCGACCATTAACAAAATGGGACGACGTTGTTGGGTCGTGCCTATCAGGCTTATATAATATGCGACTTCGCGTCAGCTGAATCGAACGTCTCGGCCGCAGCGTCTTTTTCAGGGGCTCGTCCCTCCACGATCCGGAGAGATGCTGCGAGCGATTGACCATGACGAACGAGAACACGTGAAGATCGCAACACACTTATCACTTATCCTCCAATACGAACCAGTCATATTGAAAATGGTCTAATGTCAGTTTCTACGAATGCATGTTAATCTTAGTTCAACTAACTCTTCATCTCTTTCTAGAATCAGAAAAAGATGAAGAGCAAGTTGAACCGAGATTAAAGTTCCCAAAGGTGTACCGAGTCAAGAGAAATTCAAAATAACTTTATTTTGACATCATAAAAGTTAAAAATGATTTTTTTATTTACAAAATTTAACGTTGAAATTCAAAATAAAGTTAACAAAAATCAAAATGACTTTATTTTGATGCTTAAAGTCAAATTTTGTAACAAAAAATCATCATTTTAACTTTTTTTTGACTTTATATGTTCCTTGGGATTGATAGGAACGGATATGTATCTATCTAAACAAAGTCTAAAATCGAGACATCTTTCACGATCGTTTCTACCCTCCAATGTAGAATAAAAATTTAAACAAAATGTAGTAAGATTCCTTTTGATTAATAATGCTGAAGTTCTTGCGCTAATATTTAAAAAGAGATCTATTTAAATCATTATAAAATTAATTACAAAAATGTTAATTATATATTCTTCAACAAAATCAATCGTAACGTTTCGATTAATCTTCTAATCCTCCTCAGCGATAAAAATTACATAATACAGACTTTAAAATTAAGATAAGCATTATTATCTGCTTCCAAGATACACAACATCTCCTGCAGAAGAAATATATCTTATATCAATCGAAAGGAAAGAAGAAATGGTCTCAAAGTATTGAGTACCTACGGCAACATATATGCAAACCACTAATGTAGATTAACTTTAATCTTGGTTTAACTTACTTTCTATCTTTTTTTAGTTTTAAGAAAAAATCCAGATTAAAGTTAATCTTTAATAGAAATGGATATTGGATGTCTTTTAGAACGATAACAGTGTCTTGTAAAATGTTCTGTATCGACATCTCGATTTTGGACTGTTATTGTCTGGATAATTTCGATTGACGTTTAAATTTTCGAGATGCAGATCTGACATAACATTACAAATTTCTGCAAATTTGATATAACAGTGATTTTTTAAAACTGGATTTACACGTCAAGTGTATTCGATACTCGACGAGATAAAAGTAGAAATTTCGGAGATGGACTCGAGGTGAGAGAAACGGCCGCCATGAAATCCCCTCTCGCGTCCTCGCCGGTGTGTTTTTTAAAGGTTTCGCAAGGATCTCGTCTCTCTTTCAAAATAATACGTGATTTCACGGTGCAATTAATCTCTGACACGCGTCTCGCATTAACGTTGACAATGCGATGACGTTGACAATAGCGGCGCGTACGACTACAATTGTAAATAAATCGATTGTCTCCTCCCGATGTCTAGCGGTGACCAATAACGCGGGATAAATAATCCGTTCTCGAAACAGATAGAAAGAATGCTATGTCAAAATCCACGGATCTCTCATTGACGCGCCTCTCGAAAGGGGAAGGGCAGCGGCGCAAAGGTGTAATTGATGATAATGAAAATTTCATCGAAAATGTCAGGACGTCATCCGGGGGAGAGTCCCAGAAATGAGCGTGATACAAGTGACGGATTCCGACGAGGATGCAGCTGGGTGTATACGAGCTAAGGTATCAAGGATAAGCTCTGCCCCCCCCCCCTTCTCCCGCTTCTCATCCCCATCCCGCGCGCACCCCTTTCGCTCGCTGTCGCTGTCGCTGTCGCTATCGCTATCGCTCCGACATGAAAATGTGTGACGTTCTGAGAAAAAAAAGATGCGGACTTACTGTCGGTCGAGAAGGCGTCCGCGGCTGCCAGCACGGCCAGCGCGACGAGCAGCAGCACGCCACGGGATTCTCGCCCCATAACAACCCTCTTTCTTCTCACGGTCGTGTCCTTCGTCGCCTCCGTTCCACCACACTGTGTCACGGCGAACCACCACCACCCAACGGCAGCGGGCACCACCACCCTTGCCAACCTCTCCGCGGTGCTTCCTGCCGCGACAGTTTCTTCTCCCCGTCTCTCTCGTTTCACCCCAGCTGGCCTTCTCTCTCGCTCTTCTTCTCTTCCCTCTTACGAATATCGATCAACAACAATAACAATAACAATGCCCTCTGCTATCGGACGGAACTGCGGCGATCACTGAGAGAGCCTCCTCGCAAGACCACGCGGTCCAGCCACCGTTCGGCATCGGGGTCTTCTCAAAACACGCCAATCGAACGTCTCTCTCTCTTTCTCTCTTTCATTAACGGCGCAACACTCGCCACCCTCGTTGCTCCCGTCCTTCTTTGCTTGTTTGTCAATCGCTCTGTCACTCTCCTCCTTGCTTGCAGCTATAGAAAAAATACACTCCACGAAGTGGTGAGACCGAACGGCCCGCCCCGTGTGCGGCCACCTCCGTCATCCGTGCGCGTATCGCGAAGTATTTTCCGTCCTTCTTTCTCGCCTTTTCCTGGCCCTGCTGCTGTGCTGCGTCGATCCGACAGTGGCGGATTGTCGCGTCGAGGCGTCAGCGCCCTCCAATTTCGGCCCTCGGGGCGGATCTCCAACGCGAATGCTCCCACTTACGCATCTGCAAAAATCCCATCGAAAATAATCACCTTCCTCTGATAATCCTCAAATTTAAAATTTTTCAATCACCGCACTCGCAGCGAGTTTCGCAGCCGCTACGTTCACGCGAGAAAGGGCCCACATCGTCGTGTTTCATTCAACTTCCGTTTCCTTTCTCGTTAGATCGTCACATAAAGAATTGTCACATAAAGAAGCTATTATAACAGATAGTTATCGTATCCCGCATCCGTTTCAAATCTTTCATGAGACTTTCAAATTTCTGATAATACAGAGATGAAGAAATTGAAGTCATCTCGCGCCTGAAGATTTCTATTTTTGAGAAACTATTAAAAGTACACACAATAATTCCATGTTTATTTAAGTCTTTATTTAATAAGAATATAGAATTCGATCGATATATATTAATACATCATACAAGTATGCAAAAAACCACCAAATACGACAACAGCTAAATGCTTTTATATATATATATCTATATAAATTCCTAAGTTTTTTAAGTTTTATAGTTAATAACAATTACATAACTAAACAAAGAATAAATTCTCCCTCTCACTCATTCTCATTCTCTCTCTCTCTCTCTCTCTCTCTCTCTTTAACACTTTCTTAATTTGAAACGTTTACCAGTGATAAGGAATCTCGAAATTAGTTGAAACTCCTGCGTGTCTTTTAATCCGCCACTGCGACTCCGCCGGCTTCTTTCGCTCTCTGTCGCTTCTCTCTGCCACGCTCGATCACCCAGTGAGTAACATCGCTCTCTATCTCTCTTTCCCTCACGTGTTCTCCCGGGCGAGCTCCGTCGACCGACCAGTAACTCTGACGCACCGATATCGCGCCACCTGCGCGCGCAGTTTCGCTCCTCTCGTTCTATTATACGTACACGAGATCTCCCTTACCGCTCGCCCCCCCGCCCCTCGAATCGAGCCGGCGCCACGGTGTTAAAACACGTACACGCTCGAAAGTCGCGTCGCACGCGTGCGAATCGGCGATGCGCGGCTGATACGCGGCCCAGCTTAACCCGGAAAGGCAGACATCACCTCCTTCTTCCGCAAACGACGGACGAGTAGCGATGTGAAATTTTTACCTGCGACACCGGAAACGCGCACGCACCATGCACACCTATGCACGCACCTGTACCTGTGTGCGAATCAGACATTTACTTCCAAATGGAATTCTTTCGCTTTTTTTTTCTTGTTTGTCAGTCGAATGGAACTTCTACGTTAATTACCACGAACATGATCAATATTTGGCTGCCTGAGAGAATATACATTTGCTTTACAAATATGTCTTGAATCTCTCTCTCTCTCTCTCTCT